AGTATTTTGACTGCTGCTGTTCAATTACCATTTGAGAAAGCAGGACTGCTGGGAAAGACAACACAAGGTAAACCAACACTGGCTACAAAAGCAATCAGTGCACCACTATCCACAGTGCACAGCCCAGCCCTCAGAGACCTTCCCAAAAGCAGCTTCACCTCACGCTGCTCCGAGCCAGCAGTGCTCACACAGCCAAAGGTAAGGGGCTGTCAACAAATCAGGAGAGCCCGAAATATCTCATTTTATCTCTATAATAGAAACTGTAATTGACAAATCATTATTTTACATTTATAAAATATATGATGAGGAACATACCACATGCATTCTAGACTTTCTGTCTGCGCTGGAAATCAACTGGGAAATTAGGAGGTATGGCGTAGAAACATCACTAGGAATATACCGTATTACTGCTTTTGCAGCTGCAGTCCCAGAATTTGTTTCACAATAATTCAGTTACCCATGTTTAAACAACCAGCCAGCAGAAGAAAGGCTGATATATTTCATATGCATTCTCTTTGAGCAGGGGGGCCTTCACGTCTGGTCGAAAAATGTCAGGCTCATATGACACCACCAGAGTCAGGAGAGATGCCTAACCATAACTAAAAGCAGAATTTGGCCAACACAATTGGAAAATACCAGCACAGTATATACAAATGCACACACGCAATCTCATATAGGAGCAGAGCATGACACAGAATGGATTTTTTAATCACACCTTTAAAAAAAACAACATTTCACATACAAACCTCTCACTGCGCTCCTACGCGGATCCTTCATCCCACTGCAACATAAACAGACATACCAGAGTCTGGAGTAGGGAAGAAAGATTTCCTCCCACCCGCCATTGAGGATTTTAAACACAATTTGAAAAGCAAAAGAACAGATCTGGCCTGCCTTCCAAAGTGACTTCAATAATAGATAAACAGTTTTAAGACTACCACAGTCAGCAAGTACATACATAAGCTTTACATTAATATACTTACCTATATTTTTAAGAGAGCTTCATTTTTCCTCGTTGTCCTTGGTTTCCTCTAGCATACAGTCCAGTAGAAAAAAGCTAGACATTTTTCCTGATTCACTAAAACCATGCCTTTACAATGAATATCCTATGGTTTAGACATTATTCTTCAAAATTTCTTATCCAAAGGAAAGCAGCCTTTCTCTTAGCTTCAGTATCAGTTTCTACAAGTTTTGTATTATCTTTCTACCATTCTATCAAACAAATCTTTTAGAAAGGAAGGATTTTAACTTGCATCCTCTCTGGTGCACTTCCTGGTAACACCTGAGGGTTTCGGTACTTTGCCAAAACAGAGTGGATCTCAGTATTGGCAGAGACATAACCAAACACAAATATTTGAATTTATTACTAAAAAACCAAGATTCTGAAACAGCATTTTTAACAAAATTAAACAGATAAACTTTGGTGCAAATTAAAAACAACTCTCTTGTATCTGAGCCCATAATGACTATTTTGAATACAGAATATTTACTGCTGGCAATAAAGAAGTTTTTTGGTAACTTTTCTGTTATTGGGAAGAGCTTGAATACAATCCAGTCAAAAAAAAATTGCTGACTTTCCTAAATAGGGGCTGTGTTTTTGCAATAAAGAATACTGGTCAATATACAAGTGGAGGAAAACTGAACCAGATGTCAGTAATAGGACCACAGAACGTTGCATTTGCCCAGAATCGCTATTTTAAACACATGATGTTGGTCTACTGGTTTGTGGGATAATACATTCTTGGCAGCCAGAAGGAGTTTCGATATGTTAGAAGGTTATCCTTGAGGAAAAAAAAAAAAAAAAAAAAAAAAGATGGAGGAGAAGAGAGGTAAAAAAAGGCCACTAATTCATCAAGTTACCTACAGCAAAAAAAATTTTAAAATCATGACTTAAGAAATCAGTTCAAAGAGAAGCCAGTCTCAAAACAGAAAGCTTGGGGTGCATATTAATTTTTGTTTTCTGCTTTACCTCCTTAATACGAATACTTCATTCATCCTTCACTGATCTTTGCCTCCCTGGGTTTTTTGGTAAGGATTCCTCCCTTCATTTGTACTCAGTTTCTGGTGAGCTCCCACCTTGCAGCTCCATGAGTGATGTGGGGGAACCACCCCCACACAGCAGAGCACACAAACCCAGCACTGAGAGCTTCTCCTGTTGGAAACCCTTGCTCACACCAGGATCCTGCTGCCCTCACTGAAATCATCCCTTGCTCACACCAGGATCCTGCTGCCCTCACTGAAATCATCCCTTGCTCACACCAGGATCCTGCTGTCCTCACTGAAATCATCCCTTGCTCACACCAGGATCCTGCTGTCCTCACTGAAATCATCCCTTGCTCACACCAGGATCCTGCTGCCCTCCCTGGCATCACTGGAGGCAGCTGCCCCCAAATCCCTGAAGGCAGCCCTGGAAGCTGTAAGCACACAAGTAACAAGCCAGGTCCCTGTCCACTGGCAATTTAGTAGTTACCCATCTCTAAAATGTTTCCTAGCTCAGAGTCACAGGGGTTTCTGAGTGGTTTTTTGGTGTGTTTTTTGGTTTAGTTTTTTTTTCCCCTTCTACTTAAGAAGTAGTTACATCTGTAAGTCTTCTTAATATTGAAATAAAACTTCAAAATGTACTTTGTATGTTTGGCCAACAAACACTTCCCTGTTTTACCATGCAGTAAATTTAAAAATCAACTCTGCTCATTGTCTTAACAAACCCTCCTCTGAAAGATAATTAAAACCACTTCCCAATATACAACCAAAGTTTTATTTTTATAGTCTATCTTCAATTATGGCATAATCCTTTCTTTTTTTTTTAACCAGTGAAATATACAAATCACACAAGACAGAAATATGTACATTAAATGTACAGAACAGAGGAAAGGACATAGAAGATTTACATATCTGAATGACAAGTAAAATATTTTACATTAAATAGGGTTTTAATAGCTAGGATCATGAGATTCAATTCTGCTCAGACAGAAGTCACTAAAAAGGAACATGAGGTGATTCAGCAAATGAAAAAAAAGATCTTGGTTTTTGTACAATAAAAACCAAAGTGACATATTCAATGAATTAGTGCTTTATTTATTTCTCTTACTTTAAAGATATTCTTTGCAAACATCTGAAGATGAGGGGTAAATATGTCCTTGTACAATAAATTAAGAGCAATAAAGCGCCATTAAGAAGCTGATAAATGATCAAGATGAATTTAATGATACAGCTTAAAGGCTTGTGAAAAGTCAAGGCTTTAGTACAACTAGGCTAAAGTGAAAGGTTTTCCTCACTTGGCATCTGCAAAACCATTTTCTTTGACTTGTAGGATGAGACTGAATTGGAAAGTGGCATCTAGACCAAAGATGAAATCCTGTGTAACTAACACAGCATGGGGGGAACACGTATTGTTTGACAAACAACAATTCTCCGTTCAGAAACTGAAAAGCAAGGGCCGAATGCAGCACATTTTGGAGTTGGAAGGTGTCTCCTTTCAGCAATAATCAATAATGCCCTTAAAGTGAGAGTGGAATAGAAGTGATCTCCAGACTGCTATCAATTCAAGTGCAGGGTGCTGCCTCTACCAACCACCCAAGGAAGTCCTGAAATTGGGAAGAAGCTTACTTCTTTGTGATTATCCTTAAAACTTTTGAATGTTAAAAGTTCTTTTTAAAAAAATAATAATTAAAAATAAAAACCCGCCAAAAGGTTAGAATCAATCTAAAGACCTGAAGAGATCTGAAAAAGAAAATAAGGGATGAACTGCCCCTTTAATTTAGATGTTTTATTATTTTCTAAATCATTAAAATATATATGTACAAAAAGCTTTGAAGTATCAGACACCAGAGACCACAGTTCTCCCATATATATGTAACTGCTCGAGTATAGTCTGAACAGTTGTAGTGTATATCTGCAATATATTATCAAAAGCATGTGTATTAAAGACATAGGATGATAAATTTGGTACTGCTGCAACGTTTCATTGAACTATAATAGTCAGTTAATGTTATTAAAATATGAAACTATTGTCTCCTTGAATGAAAGCGTTCCCAAAATCTGCGAAAAAAATAAAAATCAATCATTCCAAGAGCGGATATCTAATGATTTATTTTCTCACATAAAATTAGAGGAGTTATTTGTCAAGCTGTGTTTTGAAAGCCAGCCAGCTATTACACCATTTTAAGGCATTTTCAGATTTGAGGAACTCTCCTTTCCATGGGCTTTCCAGGCTGGGAAACCAAAGCTGTTTGCAAGCATTGCCCAGCTGCAGTGCTGCGGGCAGCCTGCCCCGGCAGGGCTGCTCCGCCACACAAGACACCCAAACGTCACAATTAGCTAATGAGGCCAAGCTCTGCCTTGAAGAACATCTTTATTATTCACCAAGGCAGATTAGTTTTTTTTTTTCTGTTTTTTTTTTTCCCTGTCTTGCTCGGTTCTGCCCTGGTGGCTCAGGGATAGCGCAGTTGAAGCCTTTCTGATCCTTTGCTCTTTGCCCTCTGGTGACCCTCGGCGGGCAACTGACATTGCACCTTGTGGTGAACATACCCCTTATTTACAGAGCCCTACATGCACTGAACAGCTTTATACACCCTATTCTAGGAACTTCTAGTGTCTGAACCTAAAAGTTATGGACAGGTCTGTGTGTTCCTCACATCCATAAGGATTGTTCTAACATCCCAAGCACATTACATGGTTGCTTTGCCTACTGCACATGTATTACGTTCCATGGATCTAAATTAGCATATGTCGGATTTTCCCCTCAAACTACTCTATTGTTTGTAAGAAGAGTCAATTTTTTTTTTTTAACTTTGTAAAATAAATATTCTCAGATTCTCCTCCATTATTGCCAAAAATATAAGCCTCACACAGTTCTGGGATGGACGCAGAGAGGGTTTCCAGGCACTTCTCTTTGCAACCTTTATATTTTTCTTTTTTTCTTTCTTTTTTTTTTTTT